AGTTTTTCAGTGAATTTGGCTGGGCCTTGTGACAAAGGCTGGGCCGAACCCATGTGGCTGGTGTGTATATCAATGTTTGGGTCCCACGCCATACAAAGAAGCCAAACTGGGCAGTAGATTGGAAACTAGTTAAGAACTGAACACTTAATGGGCCAAAAGCCCATTTCGAGCTGGGCTGATATAATCATCCATCTATGGGGCGAATCTGAGATTTATGTTAGTAAAAGGATTGGACCTTTAACCTTATCCACTCTGGGAGACCAAATTCAAATCAAATTTGAATCTAGTAACCTTCTGATAAGATCAGGAGTAAGCTAACTTAATCTACAGATAGGATTAAGATAATCCCCTATCCAAATACTGATTTGGATTGGGATAACTCCTATTAGGAGGTTTCTTAATCAAGAAGCAAAGAGGAGAAACCCCAAGAGAAATATATCAGATTTCGAACCAGGGGTTTAGAGAAAAAAAAATTACCCTGCGAACTGAGATTAGATCTCATACAGACTCCAGAGAGAAGAGAAGCAGTTCAGCCATYTTCGTCCCARGAGTTCTCCTCCAGCCGCCGCCATTCCCTCTTGCAAGATTTGTCTTTACAATAAAAGGAAGTCAAGAAATCAGTTTTTGACATCAGTCTTGCAGGAATGACTGAAAAAGATTCGGTGTTCAGAGTTTTCCAAAGGGTTCTTGCGAAGGATACAGTGTGTAGGATGCACCTTGCTGGTTCCGTTCCACCCACAGTTGTGTCATCTTCAGCTGGAGCGGATCTTGGTGTTTTCTTTGGGCGTGAACACCAATTTTGGGAGATACTATTTCTCCGGATCAGGTATAATCCTCCCTTTTTTCTTTTTGGTTCAGATTTGGTTCAATTATGGTTCAAGTAGTATCCTTGAATATTGTATTCTAAATTCAGGGAATGCGATTCCAAGTCGGGAGAAGATAGGAAAATTTTTGAAATTCGCTCACCCATTCCGCAACCTTTATGGCGTCCATTAGATGGATCCTACCCTCTTTCACTCCATGCACCTTCTCTATGATATCTGGATCTACAACCTTAATGCGGTGCTCTCTCAAGATCAGTTTCGGGCGGTTCATCGTTCTGCTAATGGGTTGGTCTTGCCATTGCTGCCGTTAATGGGCTGTTGGGGCCTTGGGGTTTTGCCCCAACCCCAAGGGGCTCCTCATCCAAAGCCCAAAGGCTTCAAGATAATCGGGTCAGATCCAATAAGCCCGGTTAATTGGTTTTAGGCCCGGTACTCCTCTGATACACTAGACTGGGACCGGTTTTTTAGAGTATATCTTAACCCAGTCCAGACTCAATCCATTGACAGCTCCAGTTTTAATTTCAAAATCCTAGCAAATAATAGGAGTTTTATGATAGAGTCTGGTTTTGTGAGTGGAATTCCTCCTCCTGAGTATGTTTGTACACTTTTAGCTTCCAACATTGGAAAATGCAAATGCTTCTCCCACTTTCCAATTTAATGTAATGAATATTTTCATTACCTTTTTTTTTTATTTTCTGGCATTGCCAGTCTGAAGTAATTTGATACTCTTACGTCTTACATTTTCTGAGACTGAGACAAAGAAACTATTATACTATAAGATTGATACGAATGCCTTGGGGCAACATGTTGTGCCCAAATACCTTACTTAATATACGGCCCCTTTTTTATCTTTTTCCTGGATTTTAATTTTTGCTGGACCACACCAGGCAAATATAGAAAGAAAGAAAGAAAAGGCCAGGAGAGATTTATGGAAACTATGGTTTTTAAAATCGACTCAGAGACTGAATTGGTTAGGGTCCGGTTTTTGGGTCGAATGGTTCAACTGTTCGAATTGAACGATCGACCCATTCTGATAAAAATAAATAAAAAATTTAAAAAACAGTTAAAACTGTTCGAATGATTAATCGTCCGATTCAGCGGTTTACTAACCAAAATCAATATTTTTTGAGAAAATCAGATTTTGGGAGGAACGAAACCGGTACCGGTTCCCGGTTTTTCGGTCCAATCTGGTTTTGAAAACAATGATGGAAACGCAACATAACAGTTCAGTAAAAACATCAAAAACTCTGAGACGTATTTTGATAAATTTTAATATCCTAATACAATCCCTTGACTTATCAAAGGTCCAAATTCCGTCCAACCCAAGTTTGAATATGACCCAATTATGTGGAACATTCGACTAAGCTTGAATTCAAAACCCCTCCCTGTCTCCCTCTCGCATCGCCTGATGCGAGTATCGCTCTTGCATGGCTTGATGCGAGTTTTTCTTCTGTTACGATAGGTCTTTAATAGATAGGGTGAACTTTCTTTGTTGTTTTATTTGTTTTTAGTTTTTATTTTTGTGTTTTCTTTTGTCGGCCGGTTGTTGTCTTGTTCCATTGGTTTCTCTCTGTAGGATTTAAATACGATGGTTTGATCTTTGTTCTGAAAAGTGGTTCAATCTCTACGACTTGTTCTTCAATGGCTTTATTTTCATGAAGGTTGAAGATGTTATTGTTACTAAAATCGCTCTAAATGGTGACATATGTTCTAAAAAGAAATATGAGGATCATTTACTGACGACATTATGTTTGGGAGTATACTCTTCCTTGGGATGCTTTCTGGTGTGGTGTATTCCAGTGAGTTGTTCTTGAAGAGGATTATTATTTGTTTTGGCATATTTTTCTGGTGCAGCCCAATCGTTTCAGTTCAGTCTCCGGCACTATCCAGCCTCTCAGTTATTGGAGTAACCGTTTTTTGGCACTTTTTTCGGACCATCTTCTTTTAGTGGGGACGTGGCCTTTTTCTTGCCTCATGTCTAGGGACGGTTTGTCTTGGAAGGAGTTTACTTTTGCAAGATAACTGTTACGTCCAAGCCTGGGTGAGACAATGGTTAGCTCTCTACTTTTCACCTTTCAAGTCTGAAGTTTTTAGTTGCGATTGCCATTTGGCAATTTTTTTCTGTGTATCCCTGTTTTGGGGAGTTTCTTGTAGAGTTTTGACTCTGTTGGAGGTCGGTCCTCTTGTATTGGCGTTTCCTTCTTTTTGCACCGTTTGCAAAGCGCTTACAAGAATTTCTCCTTGTACTTAGTATTTATTGCAATCTATATTGGGTTTATCTTTTCTTTTTATGTTTGCTGATTGTATTTTCATGGATTGTATTTGAGATTATGAGCATTCTTAATGAAATTATCCATTGTCTTAGAAAAAAAGAAAAAACTAATGATGAGTGGCTTAAAACGAGGCTCCAACTGTTATTAATTTAGAGAGAATGACTAATCAGCCCATATCAAAATTTTATAACCCCAAAGTACAGGGGGAATACATCCTGACCGTAAATTGATGAGTTCAGAATTTTGAAGCTGGTCAGCTCCTTGGTCACAACTTGTGCAACGATAAACTAGCTCTTATTTATCTGAGGTCCATTAATCCCTCTTCCCACTTCCTGCATATGTATTATCAAGTGTTCCAGCCCAAACAGATTTGATAACAAGCCATTGCGAGTCATCCTTTGACCTTTGGGCTTTCTAGGTAACAAGAACATAGGCGAGAGGGCTTTATAGATTCCCCAACAGCTGAGGGTCGATGCCATTTCTTCACCTTTGGGAAGACCAAAAGACACACTCAGACTCCTAAGAGGACTCAGTTGCCCAATCTTAGTAGGCAAGTCGTCCATCAATTCACCAACATGAAGCACTTCAAGTTCCTTGAGAAGTCCTATCTAGGATAGTAGAGACCTTATGCCAGTCAGGTGTAGATATAATCTTCGAAGGCTTACCAAGTCGAAAAAGAGGAAACTCCGTGATGGGAGAAAAGCGATGGCAGCTCTTCAATTTTAGTGTTTGACAGGTTTAGGACTTGGAGATTTACCAGTTCAAAATCTTGCATAGCTAGCGATTCTTCCATATCTGCAACAGTGCCATTCGAAGCTAACTCCAACTGGGTGAACTCCCACTCACCAACATCAAACGCATTCTTCAAGGACCCTCCGATGACAAGAATCGCGAGTGGCAAACCATGGCATTCCTTAACCACCTTGCGAACTACTTTTTCTATTTCAGAATCAGGTAAAACATCACCTTTTGATGAAACAACTCCCATGCTTCATCTTTCGATAAAGTTTCAACCTTGATCGTCTCATTTATGCCCATCTGGTTACAAACTTTCATCAATACAATCTTACACCCATTGTCTGTGCAAGAACTTCTTCTTCTCCAGGTGTTGAGCGCTAGAAGGGAGGAGGGGGAAATGTCTCACGTGGAAATTGTTGCACGTGATAATGTGGTCACACGAAGATGGAGCAAGTGTTATCAAGTGATTGAATTAGTAAAAAGGGCAGCAGAATAGGATTAGTAGGAAATCCGGACACTCGTCTTAATCCCATAATTAAAGCAATAAACCATGGTGATTGGGAGACCGGATCATCTCCCCACACAGGAAACATCTCCCGTATTTATAATTTTTTTTTTACGGGAGTTCCCAATGCACGGTGGATGTGCATGTGAGGCGCCCAACTGTAGGAACAGATTCCGTTCCTCAATGCACGGTGGATGTGTTTGTGAGGAGCAGATGATGCCAATCTCTATTGTGACAGGTGTCAACTATCATGATTCTGCCTGTCAGGTCACGATCGTTGGAGATCAAAACCGAACGTTTTTGGCGCGTACGTCCGTTCTTGATTTTCTCCGATTTACCAGTTTTTCATTTTTAGAATAGATTTTTTTTTTGAATATTATCGAAAAATGGTTCATTTATCGTGCCGTGCATGTCCCATCACTTGAATATCAGAACATCCCGTCTACCTCCTGTGTTTTTCTTGTTGAAAACGACGCCTCGCATCTGCCTTCTTCTTTGTTCTCGTTGCCTGCTTGGCTCGCTGCTCTCTCTATCAGTCTCTCCTTTCTTTGATTTTGGGTTTTTGTTTCTTTCACTGTCGGTGCATTTGGGCTTCGTTCTTGGACTATTCTCTGCTTTGACTTGTTTTTTTTTTTCGTTATGTTCTCTCTCTCTCGCTCTGGGTTCATTGTTCGTATGCTGAAACGCCATTTTATTGATGGATGTAGTGGCTTTGTGAGTATGCAGTTGTCATGGTAATGTTGTCTCATCTTGCTGGGTTGTATTCTGTTTAGCATGCATTTTGGGATTTGAAAGAGACTTGCCGTTGCTCTTCGTTTCTCTTTTTTATTCTATTCTTTTTTTTTTCTGTTTTTAGTGGTTTGGGCTGTTGTGACTGATTTCAGTCATTTCTTGATAGTTTTGGAAGTACTGCATTCAGTTTTTCTGGTTGTTGTGAATGGAGGTTCGGTGGTTTAGCCCCTTGGGATTCTATGATGTTTAGTGAAATCTTGCTTTAGAGTCTCCTAGCTTAGACCAACTTCAACAGTAATATGTTAATGAATGATTCGTTTTAGACAGAGAATGACAGTGGGTTTGCTGATTCCTTTATTGTTTGCATATTTGGATGGAGCAAAGAACAAGAAAAATATGGAGAGGAAGAAGTTTGGGTTTCATTAGCCTTTTTTTTTTCTTTTCTTTGGCACAAATATCAAGTCTCTGTCTTAGTCTGTTACAAGAATTAAAATATCAAAGTCCTATGTCGTGGATATTTAGTTTAACAAAAAGTAGCCCTGTTGAAATGTTTAGGACCAGGGTTCATTTATCAAAAAAAAAAAAAAGTTTAGCACCAGGGTTTTTGTGTTAGTATCTACTTTCCATTGTTTAGTAGAAATAGGGTATTGTTCCCAAAGCATTCTGCAAGTAATCAGAACATAAACATGCCCTGCTTTCTTCTTCTCCTTTTCGACTGTTAATAGATGTTTTTTTTTTTTTTTCTTTTTCCATATTTATGATCATAAAATCCTTTTCAGATGAGGGAGAGGAATGTTAGAATCATTTATCATATTAGATATATTAAGGGTAAGGGTCTTGGTATAGCATAAGGAAATCAAAGAAAGGTGAAGATCTTTCAGAAAATTGTTGGATTAAGAATAATATGCTAAGTGCTCAGATCCAAGAAGAATGAATAACTCTATTGTGATTGTAGTTACTTTACTGCAACAGTAGGAAGTGATTTGGTGTACTTCCTTTTTTCTTCTTTTTGATTGTTGTCATTTGGTGTAAGATTGACAGTTTTAAGAAGAGGTTGGGATTTGGGAGGGCTTTGAATGAAGGATGAAAGTAGGAAATGATTTAGGATATGATGGAATGATAAGAGTCCATTTGAGAGGGCTTCAGCTTTGATCAAGCTACTTCAAAGAAGCTTCTAAAACTAGCTTCATAAGAAAGTCAATTTACTATCTTAGTTAAAGTAGATTCTGGATTTTTGGGTTTTTCACCGAACATAGCTTCTAGGCTTTCTGTGTGCGGCCCACCTTGCAGTGTTAGAAGTCATTGTGTAAAATCCCTCCCAAATGGGCAATTCAAGTTTGGAAATGATATTAATGAGATTGAGATGACAAAGTTTAAAAAAATGCACCTTAGGCTCAGGTATGCCCAAGTCCATTTTGTGTGGTGTTTCTCACTTGGCTTGTTGTTGCTATGTTTTGATAAATTAACCTTAAATTTTATTTTGAATTGGCATTTGGTTACTTATTGGATCATATGTGCTAATTTTGATGTTTATGGTTTAGACAATTTAGGGTCCGTTTGGTTCGAGGGAATAGGGGTCTGGAATCGGAATCGGAGTGGTTCATTCCCATTCTGGATGTTTGGTTAAATGAAATGAGAATCTCATTCCCATTCTAGGCAGAATGGGATTCCCCCATATGGGGGAATGCCCATTTCTAACCCCACCCCAAGGAATGCCATTCTCATTCCGGGGGTGCCATTCCCATGCCATGTTTCATGCGACCAAAATGTCATACACACCCGCAATGAAACACGATATTCCCCCATGTTTTTTTTATTGTAATTTCTGTTTTCTGTCAACTGTGACAACTGTGTAGATGAAGTTGAATATTTTCTGTCAACTTTGTCTTTTAATAAAAATGAATATTTTCTGTCAACTGTGTAACGTTTGATAACAACTGTGTTCCATAAAAATGAAACACGACAGTATAAAAAATAGTTTTATACAGAATTATTTAATTTCTGCAATTCCTATAAAATTTTTACATTTTTTAGTATTTTCATGCATTTTCTGCTTTTTTATTTTTATTAGAGGCAAAATTGGAAATCATGGCTGATTCCGATTCTAGCCTCTTAATGGACTAAACAGCATAAATCAGAATCCGATTCCGATTCTGGTTTGGACCAAACAACCAAGCGAAATAGGCCATTCCAATTCTGATTCCAAGGGATTTCAATTTCAATTTTGATTTCGATTCCGATTCTGATCGCGAACCAAACAGGCCCTTAGCCTATATAGGACTTAACATTTAAGGTTATGCCTTTATGTTATTAGATCATATATTTTGGCTGCATTTGGCATTCCTTATATAAAGTACTCATCTCCTTTTTGCTGTAAAAGATGTCCCTATTAATACTGAATTTTTAATTGCAAAAAGGAGATAAATCCTTAAAATAAAAAATGGCAAATGCAGACTTAGAGTTTATGAAATATTTTGATAGATTAATATTTGCAATATTAAACTTTTATGATAAATCTATAAAAAACTTTTGGTATTGGTTGACATATTTTACATTTTAAGTGGTTAAGGGCCATAACTTAGTGTAATGGTAAAATCTCGGGTTGTCAAGTATGATAACGTGGGTTTGAGTTTGAGAGCGGCCACTTTGTGCAAAAAAAAAAAAAAAAATTAAAAGCTAGGATTGTATGTAGTCTACTCCTCTTAGGCTCCAAATATCTAGGATCAAATTCCTTTCTTTCTCTTCCCTTTTCTTTTCCCTTTCTTTCTTCTCTTTCTTTCCCTTCCCTTTCCTTTTCTTTCTTCCTATTTTTTGCTTTCATTCTACCTTTTTTGTATGAGGTGTGTGCCCCATGGACCTAAGTGCGTATGCCTGAGAGGCATCAGTGCCATTGGCATACACCTTAGGGCCTTTTGGAGGCGAGGCGCTTGGAGGCTCTAAGCATATGCCTTACACACCTTTTAAAGCACTATTGGCAACTTGGTGCGAAGGCTGATGCTTATTTTGTATTTGTGAGTTCCTCATCATCATCACCATCATCAAAGTCTTATCCCAACTATATGGGTTCGGCTACATGAATCCTACTTTGTAAGTTTGTTTTGCTTAATCTTTAATACTATCTATATCCATTGTTAAATTATTGGCACTTAAGTCATTTCTTATGCTTTTACTGATTTACTTTTTGGTGTATCCCATGCCCTTTTAGTCCCTTCAATTTGTAACAAATCAATTCTTCTTATGAATGCTACTAAGTAGAATTTATGGGTAAGGGTGCAACTCGGGTGGGTTGTATTGTGTGAAGGGTCAACCTTGGGCTTGTGCTTGGCCCAACTTGATTTGCCAGCTTAAGCCCAACTGGAGCTTACCCAATACAACCTGGGCTGGTAATTGTGGTCATGGGCTGGGTTGGTTTTAAGACTTAAGAGGTTATAGGCAGGTGTTGGGCTTGAGTTGGGATTTGGGATTTTATCTTTAAATATAAAATATAGTATATAAACATTATATAATATATAAAATATGTAAAATTGAAAGTGCTCTATATTCGTTTCATTGGTTCACCTTAGAAGAAAACGAAGATAAAAGGAGTGTTAGGCACTGTCAAAGATGGAAGATATAATAACCAACAATCCTCCACCTTCAAGGTTCTTCCATGAAGACCTCAACAACTTTTCTTTACGATTGCTTGCTCTTCTGCCTCTTTACTAGGGATGTCAATGGGTCGGGTTAAATGGTAAACTCAGACTGACCCGAGCTTATAGGGTCAGCTTAGGTTCGATATATTCGGTTGTAGGGTCGGGTTTGGGTTTTGATTATTCAACCCAAGTCGGGTTTGAATTTTGGTTGACCTACCCCATTGGGTCATGATACCCTGCATATATACAAAGTATTCTTGTAAACTTTTTGACTTCTAACTCTATAACCTATAAAGTTTAAGATTTATTTACATGTTGGTTTTGATTTTTTTCTTTTTTTAAATAGGAAGAGACATCATAGATCATGGTTTTTAAAATTGGATCGACCGGACGGTCAGATTGGGAAAACCGGGAACCGGTCAGATTTCATTTTACCCTAGAATTGTTATTTTGCCAAAAAACGTTGATTTGGTTAACAAACTACTAACCCAGGTGGTTGAACTGTTTGAACCGTCTAAAATGTCCAACGGTTTTGATTGTTTTCCATTGCGAAGAGTGATTCAATATGGTAGTCTCAATCAGCGATTTGGATGCTTCAGTGGAAGCTTTGGTTCATCTTTTGGATTATATTATTCTGGTTTTCTTCACATGTAACTTTTATGTATGAGCATTAATCTTTCTTTTTCCCCCTTGCCGAATTAGTTGTTCTCATTGTTCTTTTGGATTGTATTTATTTTCCTTTCTGAACTAGGTTTTGGACATTTAGACATGGCTCCCCTTTTGATGTATTGAAAGACCTTGGGTTGTAGGCTCAGATTGTGGTGGTTGAGTTCTAGTTGATTTCAACCTTTCATACAAATGATAAAGAAATTAAAGAGTGACCTAGTGATATAGGAAAATGGAGTGCAATAAAGATGAGGCCACCGGGGTAAAAGAAATTGGTGAGATGAAGTTTACAGCAAAGGACATTGCTGGTGCGAAAAAATTTGCTTTGAAGGCCCAAAACTTGTATCCAGGACTTGATGGTCTACCTCAAATGCTGGCAACTCTTGATGTTTATTTCTATGTAGAGAACAAGATAAGTTGGGAGGCAGATTGGTGTGGGTACTTGGTGTTAATCCCTTAGCTGATGATGAGACAGTAAAGAAACAGTACAGGAAGCTGACTCTCATGCTTCACCCTGACAAGAACAAATCTGTCGGGGCAGATGGGGCTTTTAAGCTTATTTAAGAGGCCTGGAGTTTGTTATCTGACAAAGCTAAGAGAGTAACATATGACCAAAAGAGGAATTCCAAAGGATTCCAACGGAAAGTTCCACCTTTTGGTGGGGTTCCACCTGCACCACCCGGTGCAAATGGTTTTTATAATTTCACCAACAATACAACCTCAAATGCAAAGCCTCCAAAGAGTGGCAATCGGGTAGGTACTGCATCTGCTCCTGCTTCATCCCAACCATCAAAACCCAATACATTTTGGACTAAATGTCATCATTGTAAGATGCAATATGAGTATCTCAGGGTTTATCTGCATCACAATCTCCTTTGCCCCAATAATCATCCCAAAAACAAGTCTTGTGTTGTCGAATTGGAGATTACATGTATTATTCGTTAATATTAGAAAGAATCTATCATTCCTGCAAAATTTCTCAGCAACCAAACACTAGGAAGCAGATTTACTAGGATAATTGGTCTTAGCAACAAAACACAGTTGATGGACCATGTATTATTCGTTAATATAGAAAGAATCCATCCATCTCATCTCATCTTTTCTCGGCAACCAAATGGACCATAAGTTATAGTTTTCTAAGTCTGGGGATGACATTTAATCAAAGTTCTTATTTGTCCTGTGGATTGTGTCAAAGGAGGGCATTTTGGGTTTTGGAAAGTCTCAAGTTGATCTAGTTGTGTTTCTAAGTTTTTGGGGTCTAAGAGGAGGGCCAAAGAGGTGGGGTTAAGGGGCCGAGCAAAAATTGGGTGCTAACACATAAATGCTTTATTCATATATATATATATACAATTAGAAGATGCTTTTAAATAAATAAAATGCATATATGTATGCATTTGTTGATTTTGTTCAGGCAATCTTGGGTAAGGTCAGGCTTAGTTTACTTGAGGTCCTAACCCAAGCCCAACCTGAGCCTAAGTCAAGCATGGTTTTTCTAGCCCAAACCCAGCTTGAAGCCTAAAAACTCAGGTCTAGTGCAAATGCTGGGTTGGGCCACCCAAGTTGTTGCCTTATTTATGAAGGGATGAGAGATCCATCCTATGGACGCCCAAAGATTGCGGGATAAGGGGCGAATTTCAAAAATTTATCTCTCCCTTCAACTGGGAATCG